GAAAACTAATTCACGAATTGCGCAATGAAAGGTCATTTGTTATGGGGCTATTTTGGATTCAGTGATACAAGAGTGAAAAGTAGCCTAAACGCAAACATTTCCCCAATTTAGGGGCAGATAAGTGTCAATTACGGAAGACACTTCGCGATGATTTATTAGGTAATGATTCAGCTTGTTTGCCCCTTTTTTCCACTTTAATAACACGCGAATTGGAGATCACATTTCTCTCACTCTCTTCTGTGAATCTCAATTCGCTTCACATCTCAGACTTTCTTGTATGCAAATGAAACGCGTGTTGTGATTTTAATTATCGCCATGTGAGGTGATATAAAAGTTCTTTGATATAACAAAACACTGACGGTGGGTGGATTTCCCATGATTTTGCCAGCATTATGCAAAAGCCAGAAGCAATTAAGCAGTAACAAAATCATCTTTGCATTGCATAAAATTGATACACATTATTTAACCCATAATCATATTGTGATCAATGGAATATCTGGATCGTGCGACTCTGAGTTATGAATTTATCCAGATGTGTATAACCAGCAAAGTTCATGGGAATCATTGGCATCTCTGCGCCTTTTGTGTGCAGCATTTCGATAAATGCGCTGCACACATTTTGCAATTTGACAGAGACACTGGGCGACTTGCCCCACCCACTGGGCGCACATGTAAAAACAGCATCAATTTCGAACGTGCGGCAATCGGCTTATAATTTTGCAATTACCCCAATCGCTACTGGATCGACGACTGTATCGCGCTGTGATGTGAGAAAGTCCACAGTTTGACATTCAACGATGCGAATTTTTCTATACAAGAAAACAACTCTATTTGCCATGAGCCAACAGAGACTCATTTCATTTGCTATTGCCACAAACAAGCCACCGAGATTGCCGAAGACGCTGGAGACACGCAAATCCATCATCGCGAGCAGAACGATTGGAAATGCTTCTTCTCTCTCCAAATTTAATGGCTTATCTGAGTAAATTTACGCCTCTGACGAATGCCGACATTTGATTTCCGCAACGGCCAGTATTTTCCACGCGATTTAAGAGGAAATTCCATATCTCTTGTTTCGATTAGAGGAGAAATTTTCTGCAAAGCAGCAGTTTTTCTCTTCGACTGGGAAAAATTTCAGAAATCTTATTTACTCTTCGCATTACATGTGTAACTTCGCAACAGTTTCATCTTGAAAAGAAAACCCACTAAATTATCCGTCAAATTGACTACCAACAAATTGGGAAATATCTTTGCTGTTTTCGTATTTAGCATTTCCAAACAAATCCAAATATTTAATGTTATCAGTGATTTTTTTCCCACGAAAAATATTAGGGGAATGCTGAGCATGAAAGTAATCAATAATCTTCCATTCCGCATCAATCTCTTTAAGCAGTCTACCTCTCCTGTATGTATCTTTTTGTAAATCAAAATGCGAATGATGATCAGTTTATCAGATAATAAAACTCACAGAAGCTGTCCAGTGAGTGGTTAAATTGATTAATTTGCGTAGATAAAGATCGCGATTTTAGGACGCATTAATTGAGGAAGTCTGAGTGGAGGGAAGGGAAAGTCATAAAATCAATTATAGAGTCTTTTATTGGCGTAGAAAAGGGGTTTTTTTGAACAATGTTTGGTAATTAGGCTAGGCTCGCGTCGATCAGTGTGCTGCAAAGCAACTGCGAGCGATCATGATGGCATCTTTGAAGAACTGGGGCGCGCTGGTCGGAGGACTGTGTCTACCATCCGTGACCGTAGGTGTGGGCAGGGGCGTAGTTGTAGCCTCCGTGGGAGGAGTGGTGAGCGCCGGAGAGGTCGAGCTCCACAGAGTGATGACCGCCGTTGTAGGCGACGTCGTGAGCTCCGTGGAAGCCATTAGCTCCGTGGAAGCCGTTAGCTCCGTGGAAGCCGTGATCGGCGTGCAGACCACCGTGAGCGGCGTGCAGACCGTGAGCGGCGTCGGCGTGGAAGCCATGGCCGGCCTGGTAGGCCAGATCATGTCCACCGTGGTATCCGTGGTGGGATTCGTGGTGAACAGGCACGTACACGGGTCTGTCGACTGGCACTGGCACGCGCACGGGCACCCTCACGGGGACCTGGACAGGAACTGGCACCTTGCGCTCAACTGGCACGGGAACTCGCACGTACTCCTTGACTGGGACGGGCACCTTCACGTGCACGGGGACGGGAACCTTGCGCTCCACTGGCACTGGGACTTTCACGTACTCCTTCACGGGCACCGGAACATGGCGCACCACCTCGTAGGGCTGTGGCACTGGCACCTTTGTTGTGGAACAAAATTCAAAAGTAAGTATTATGTAAATGTGTCGCTGGGCGTCTCTTCACCTTAACGGGCACTGGCACTGGGCGATCGACCGGGCGATCGACTGGGACTGGGACGGGGTGGCTGACGACTGGCACGCGAACCCGAACGGGCACAGAGACCTGACGGTTCACGTAGACCTCACCGGCGGCGTGTCCCGCTCCGCGGCCGAGGAAGCCAGGACCGCTGGCGAAGCCTGTGCCGGCTCCGAATGCGTGGCCAGCATGGCCGCCGTGGAAGCTGTTGTAGGCGCTCAGGTAGGAATCTCCGTGTCCGTGGCCGAAATCACCGTGTCCGAGGGAGACACCGTGGCCAGCAGACAGAGCTAAATCTCCGTGTCCGTGAGCATAGCCGTGGCCATTGGCGTATCCATGGCCATGATCCAGCGCAGCTCCTCCAAGATTGCCCGCCGACGCGACGGCGACGCAGAGTGAAAGGATCTGCAAGAGAGTCAAGCACTTAGTCACAAGGACGCGGTGTAAGTTAATCCACAGTCTGGGCACGATCACTCACCAAAAGCTTCATGATGCTCACTATCTCTAAACCCGAAAATGCGTAGACTGACTTGATTTGGATGGGTGACATGGACTTTATATAGTGATGACAAAGAGGTGTCCGAAAAGCCCATCCAAAAGATCGAAGATCAAGAGTGGTGTGAAGAAAAAACGACGTTCGGTGGGGAGTTTTCAGCGTCGTCTATCGGAAGGAAAAAGAGTATCATCTCTGCGCGCATGAATATTAACAAATTTTCACGCCAAACTCCACTTTCGCTCTCAATTCTCATCAAACACCGCGCAAGATAGTGACTGTCTCTCTTCGCGCTGCTGATTTGCATATTTTATTACGGGCGAATTTTTATACAATATCTACTAATTTCGATCGGACCTATAAGGAAAAGGTTTATTTATCACTCTCTCATGCTATCATTTTGTCGCCATTGCATAATAATATAATATAATTGCCTAATTGCCTCCCGAAATGACGTGATCGTGCGGAAGATCGTGAGGATCACCTGCGAAATCGTGATCATCGCTTTTTGGGTCGCACTTTGGAGGTCGAGGCTATGTTTGGCAAATTTCGGGAGTGATTAGCTGTGCAAACGAATTGATTTTTTTCTTCTCTCTCTTGGCCAAACACTGCAAGTGTTGCAAGTGATCTCGTATTTGCATGATCACCATCGAGAGATCGTCGCTGGTTGCATAAAATATGTGAATTTGTGGCACACATTAAAATTATGATCATTTAAAATGATCGCATTTAGTGGCGTTCGCGGTATTATGAAAAATTTATGGCACTTTTTAGAGGAAAATTGCATCAGAAGGGCGACTGGAGAGGCCGAAGAGTCTTCCTCAGTTCGGATGTCACAATTGGAGCGACAGAGCGTCTCTCTTTTCCAAAATGTTACGATTCCCTTGCGTGCCCGATTGGTCAATGGTGTCGTTAACATATCTGATTTGATGCCATTGCATCGCGGTAAATGCCGTGGCAAATATCAGCAGGTGTGGTGATTTGAAATGGAAATGAACAGACGCAACAGTTTATTGATCTGTGAGTGATCTTCGATGCTGAATGAGGTGGAGCATCCCACGAGTGCTGAGAAAGAGCGAGCCTCCTACCGAAGAGACATCTGTGAAAGTTATTTTAATATTCCATCACAATAAATGTGAGCAAATGCACAACAATGCGCAAGCAAATAAGATCACACTTGCAGGTGGAAGATCAACTAAACCTCTGCGCGATGGTGCAATTCCAATTGTCCGCCGAAAAGTGTGCATTTCTGCTTTTCTTTTCTTTTTCGAAGGCTCGACGCACTTTAGATTTTTCTCACACTCCAAATTGCAAAGACAGATTGCGTAACTGTTTTTGTGCAGATGCTTCAAAACTGATTCCATTTCTTTTCCATACAGCAAAATACATTTGTGGAAAGTTAGTGCGATTTCAGCAGAATTCCAACAGCGCGACAGTATAAATAACAATGGACACTTTGTCGATGAGGAAGAAGCAATTAAATGATCATCTGCGGAATATTTGAATACGCCAAACTTGCAAATTGACTCTCGATGGATTTATTTATGTATTGAAGCTGAAACACTGTGTGAATCATATTTTATCTGTTGAGTATTCACTGAAAATTTGAAGCTGCGAAAATCAGCAGATTTGCATAGAGCAATTGAGAAGAAAGAGTCAAAGAAAAAAAAGCTATTATCGCTCAGCTATTAATGAAATTTGTATTCAAGAGCAACACAATTCTAAGAATTTGAAAATATATATTACACAATACATTTGTAATAAATCCTGATGACCTTTGCTTGCGAAACATTTCATCTTGCGAAAACGTTAAATGGCAATATTCTTATCTCTTTATTATGCATTTAAAATCGATGCAGAAAAGACATCATCAGTTATGGTACAAATGATGACCGCTCAACATAAAAATCAGTTTAAAACAGAGTTGAGAAAGACATTAAAATTTATTCCATTTAATTATCAATTCAAGCCTTCAATATTGCATCAATAATAGATATCAATTTTCTTTATTGTCACCCTGTGTTTGAGTTTAACCGTTGCTCCTCAGATGACTTTTAAATCAAGTGTCCCAGAAGTAAACACTCGGCAGGTGGCGCAGCGGCGAGTGTGGAGGTTGTCATTTTCACGTCGCATCGCGTCGTTTGATAATCTGTTGCCCAGAATTTTCTCAAAATTCATCAAATTGGCTAATATATCCGTGAATTCTTTTCTTCTACTTGTTAAAACGCGTAAAAGGAATCTTTCTAGCTCAGAGCAGTGTAATTAATGTGTCAAAGTGAGTAAATACCCTCGAAATTCCTTATAAAACCAATGTTTATTTTCTCTTGCCCATTTTTGTTTATTTGACTATAATTCTGCTCTTTTCTCCCTCCAGCCAAGATAATTACGATAATTCTTTGCTGAGGACAGCAAGATTCACTTTGGTGGAGTTGCTGCGTTGGATTTTGCATCGCCACCACAAGCAATCGCAGCATAACCTCAAATCGGCGCCATGGGAAAGATGCGGGCTCGAGCGAAGTCCGTGTTTGTGGATGCTCGAGAGGCGGAGAAGCTCAAGATGGGTAAGAAGGAGGTGTTATTTGTGAGAATACTGAGTAATTTTTGTTAATCCTTGCAGAGTATAAAGCAGAAACTGATTCGTCGAGCGATGAAGTCGATGACTTCCTTCATGCACAGCCAAATGGTAACAGCTTTCAGTGTCCGGAGACTTCTTGTGACTAACTTTTCTCGTCTATTTGCAGAAATACAGCCGGATGACAAGGAGACAATCTTCCGGACCTTCGACACTCTCCTCAATTTGCTGCCTGAAAGTGACGAACTCACTTTTAAACAGCGCTTATCTCGAATCAAGTGGTCTCAACTTGATTCCCAAAAACAAGGGCAATTGACGGACAAGGAGAAGATCATCGCACTTCTCAGTGGCGTCCGCAAGCACAGAAATCTCAGGGAAATGATCGAAGACGCACGCGAAGTTCTGGAGAAAAATGGTTCTATTAAGATGAACACAAAACCCAACAAATTTGTGGATTATCTGAAGGAGAATTTGCAGAGGATCAAGAATGAAAATCCTGATCTCAGTCACGTAAGTATGAGAACAATTGCTCAGCCTGATTTTCTGTACCTCATCGACTTTTCTCATGATTTTCTTCACAGCCTACGGCAATGAAGCGTTTGGCGGCAGAATACAAGAAAAGCAAGGTGAGTGAGAAGCTGCAATTCAAGTTCGTGAAGAAGGATGTTGTGTCTAGTGAGTATCCTGAGCCGCAGACGCCTTTCCAGCTGTACGCCAACAAAGATCTCCTGAAGAACCCGTCAAAGACCGCCGCGGAAGTGAAGCTGGACTGGAAAGAGTCATCCAATGCGCTGAAAGCGAAGTATATCTTGAAGGCGATGAAGCTGAAGGGTGTGGTGACGAAGGAGGAGATGAAGATCCTACATGAACACGAGGGACGTCCGACACATCCGGGAACGGCGTTCGGTGTGTTCCTGAAGGAGCATAAGAACTTGTCCATGATGAAAGTCACGGAATTGTGGAAGCAAATGCCCGATATGGAGAAAGAGCGTCGCAAGGCGGATTGCCGTGAGGCGATGAAGGAGTACAAATCAAAGACACAGGAGTTCCTGAACTCGCTCTCGGAGGAGCGTCTTCAGCTGGAGAAGGTTGGCAAGAAAAAGCAATCAAAGAAGGCGCAATCGACGGAGAAGAAGGACAATACTGTTGTAAAAGACAGCAAGAAGGGCAAGAAAGAGGTCAAAGAGAAGAAAGAGCCGGACGTGGTGACCGTTGAGAGTCCAAAGAAGAGAAAGAAGGCCAAGAATGAAGTTCCTGCGACTCCAGAAATCCTCCCAAAAGAATCGCCAAAGAGAAAGCGGAAGCACAGCGAGGATTCGGAAGATGCATTCGAAGAGAAGATGCCGAAATTGTCACCGAAAAAGGGGAAGAAGCGATCGTTGGAGAGCAACGGTGAGGCGAAGAAGCCGAAGCTGAAGAAAGAGCCTCCGGTGCAGCCAGTCAAGTGAGTAAGACTTCTTTTGTCATTTTTAATGACTTCTCTAAGAGCTTTTGCGACTACTTTTCAGCTCCGTGTACGATTACTTCTGCAAGTACATCCACAAGGGACCTGCTGATAAGCTGGAGAAGGCTTGGGGCAAAGTGACGAAGAAGGAGAAGAAGGAGTACTACAAGAAGATCTCCGAAATGAATGCTACGTACATGGATGATTTGGAAAAGTATTTGAAATCGCTGTCACCGGCGGAAGTGGAGGAATTTTCGCGTTTGCAGAGTTGTGGCGACAATTAGATTGATCAGGAATTCAAGAACACAAGAAATGTCATTGATATTCTTGCATTTTGTCTTAATCAAATTACAACCATTTTGAAGTCAAGTACAATAATACATACTTTTAGTTAATATCTTCTTCGACAGGATTAAAAAAAAAAGTGTTATCTTGCAATTTGTTAAAGAAATATAAAGAAAGAATTATATTCTGGATTAAACGTTAAGATTAGCACCAATTTTACATTAAAATTCAATGTAAATATTTTGAGGACGAAACTTAAATAAAAATATTTTTTCCAACGTATTTTTCTCACTCTGGTTCAACTTTCTTAGATATATCAATAAGATTTTTTATTATCTCTCCCTTGTCGTAAACCAGATCTGTGTGATGTGGAAAAATAACGACTTTTAACAGTATTTCCCCTTTTAGCGTGGTGAAATGGGTTGGAAAACTGGGGAAAGCTTCCCAATTGTGCTATAAAATATTCCAACATCCTGGAACTTTGCTGCTCCACTAAAAGAGTGAGGGTAGAATTGATTTGCGCATTTGCAATCTCATCCACAAACATTTTCCCTGTTTGTGTTGTTTGGAAGACCTTTCCGAACGAATATTATTAAGACATCCTTCCTAAGTTAAAAGAGTCAATCTAAATATGCTGTTGCGCAATATATATATAGCAAAGCTATGTCCGACGATGCTGAGAATGACTTCCGTTTGCAATTTCTCGCAATGCATTGATGAATGTGGCGCAGTTGCAAAAAGGCTGTGATTTCAATAAAGCTCATTTCCTTCCGCCACTCGTCGCCATTCTGCTGTCCTCTTCTCTTCCCGGCGAATGTCATCGGCAGGGTTTTTCTTCTCTGCATTCTAATTGATGTTCACTATTTGCCCAGCTCAGCCAGGAAGTCAATTCAATTGGCAGGATCGGGCGCTGAGTGTCTGCAAGGCATCTAATGAGACTCTCAGCATAATGCATTTAACACTGATGGTGAATGTGTCGCCAGAGTGCCAACGACTGCAATTGACAATTTCAATTAATGCTGGGAAGAAAGTCATTTTGCATAAACTTTTCCATAAACGACTTGTTATTCAAATAAAAAAAAAAACCCATCTCTTGACGATGTTCAAAGAACCTTTTAAGGGTTGATATAATTATTGTATGAATCATTCATTGGGGGATTTTACGCCAATAAAATGCCAAATGATGCAAATAAGGCAAGGAAAAGGAGCTTTTCTGTCGCGGAAAAATGCTAATGACAACCAACGGTAAATGAAGAAATGATTCCTCTCAGTGGAATCATTGGGAATTAAAACCTTTCGCCAACGTGGGAGACGCAGAGCGAAAGCCCCAAAAGCGGGAACATTGTGATATTTCCCACACACCAACACACACACACCCCAACGGCTCCATGGGAGGCGGAAAATTCGATTTATTGCCATGAAAGGAATTTCCACTATGCTTGGGAGAATCGGTCAGCGAGCGGAGGGCGAGGAGAGAGTGTTGTACTTTATCATTCCCAATATCCTGCGATGAAAATGAATTACTTCCTATTTAAATTTATTGTGTACAAAATTTATTGAATAAAATAAAATTCAGCAATAAAAATCACGTTCATTTTTTTTCTGTGAAAATGTCGGATTAAACTATTTGGGGTGGAAATTATGGGTTGGGGGAGAAAAAGGGGGCCGTTCGAAGCTCATGGCACGCAAAAATGCCCAATTCTTGCCCGTTGCACATAAATTACTATAGAAAAGCCATCAGATAAATAGTCAAAACACCCCGCGTCCAATACAATATATTTCAAAAATTAAATAAAACACAATTCACCCCTTCGCCACCGCAAAAATTGCACCATGGAAGGCATTTATTTCGTTTAAACAATAGCCATTTTTTCGTGCCGGATCCGCCAGTGCTGGAGTGAGGGCTGCAAGTGTGAGAGATGAAAAAAAGCGGTGGGTAATTTTTATCATAAATGCATAAATATATTTTTTCTCTCGCATCCATTCATGTGCAAGTATGTGCAGAGCTTTTTGGGGCGCCACCGAGCGGCGGAGGGTGTGGAAAAAAATCAAAAAATCACCCCCATGGATGTCAATTTATGCGAAGATTTATATGAGCGTTTATGCACACAAAGTAATCCAAACAGCACATGAACATCGCCATTCAGTGCATGGATCTGGGTTGAAATTATGAACAGACAAGTTCTTTAGGACGATGTGTACACACACGCAAAAAATAAATTGGTGATTAAATAAAGTAAATACGCTATAAATAATGACACATACATTTTTTTGCTGTACGCGAAAAAATGAGTGCTTTTTGAGCTCGATGGACGAAAAGCCGTGTGGAATAAATGAGGCGAACAATTGAGAAATATTGCCATAATGACACAGATTTTACTGAGAACACTTGAGAGGAAAAAAATTTCAAGAGTTCTATTTGAATTTTTGTATAATTTTTAAAGAAATATTAGTACAGATTCTACAAATACCAATAGTAAAAATAACAGATAAAGCCAAGGGGGAGATGATATGATCAGAAGTGGTGTTCAGCTCAGCGGAAGTATTAGGAAGTGTTCAAAAACATAATATATTGGTTTCATGAGTGCTTTTCATACTGACTAATCATCCCGATATCTTGGATTTCATTTGATTTTTACGTAGAAACAATCATAATAATTCGATAATCATCCTTTTCTCGGCAATGTAACGAATCAAGGATAAATTTAGTGAATAATTCCCATTTTGGCACATCAAATCTTATGATCTAATTGTAGAGATTGGCCGTAATTGACAGACTTCAGCTTTTGCATGCAACAAACTTCTCTATTCTGAACTTTTAATCTCAAGAAACACTGCAAATTGTACTAAGGTTGACCATAACCTCAAAAAGAGTAGTGCGGACTTGGAAAATTTTTATTTTGAAAATTTTCTGGACAATTTTAACTCTGAATCAGCAATTTTGAGTTCATTGGCAAATCACTAGAGATGATTTTGAGACCATGAAAGCTTCAAAACGGAGTCTTTGAAGATTTCTTTGTGATATTTTGAGATTATGGTCGAAAAATATACCCACAGAACAGTTTTGGTGTATTTTTACAGAAATATCGAATGGAAATTCAAGAAATTCATTATATTTTGAGGCTTATATGCAAACAGTTTAATAAATCTCAGTTAAAAGTGCTGGAAATGGTGTATAGATTCAAGGCATATTATCTTCCCCTTGAATAAAACCGGAGGGAAAACATGTACAAATGCAGGAAGTCATATTTAGACGGAATTTTGAACACATTTGCGCGAAATATGTTTGGATTGATGTGTGTATCATCAGGAAAATGAACTTTCCCGCAAAGTTCCATAAAGTCTCTTTCCGGGTATTAAATTTGTGGGATCAAGTCTGGGATAGATTTCGCGTGAATTATCGCGTTTGCAGGCGAATGGCACAGAGAACGTGGCTGTGACCCAGTTTTCGGTGGGGCCAATCTGATAAGAAGCACCTCTTGGAGCCCGCTTCTGGCTCACCAATTAAGAAAGTCAATACTCAGGCATCCGCCACTGCGCATTGGTAATGAGTGATGAAAAATGCATGGGATGTTTTGGTGCAGGACGAAGGGAGTGCGGCTTTTGGCACTGTTCGCCCCCGTGACAAACCCATTAAGTCATCATGTTTGGGTGGATCACGCCCAGGGAGAAAAGTCCCTCCGAATGGAGCGACTCATATTGGAAAATAAACGCGGAGTGCCAGTGTCTGTGACAATGCAAACAGCAACTAATTAATATTCATGGTGAAAATATAGTTTTTGCCCTACTTATGCAAAAGTTGAATGTTTGTTGCTCCCAAACTTGTGCAAACTTCACAGAATATTCTGTCACATTTGTCGCAATGGAGACATCGCCCCTTGTTTATTGTTGGCTGATTTTTAGCTGCATTCTGCACTCTGCATTTCAGCCTCCCGAACCCTTTTAGAATCAATGAGAGCATTTTGTGCAAAAAGTCCTATCAATTTTATTATTATTAATTGTCAATGAGACACTTTTGCTGTGGTCAAGGAATTGCACTTCTTCCCGCCCAACAATGGGAGTGGAAAAAAGTTTCGGATAAATTATACACTTATTAAAATTTAATTAATTACATTTACAAACTAATTAGAAAAGTTTCACTTCGCGCAAAAATGATAGTGGAGCGGAACAGTGAATGGATAGGTAACTTCGGACGTTCGTGGCATGAGAAGGTCTACATATTGTCTCACACAAGAAATGAGGTTGGCTTAACTTCAGTAAAAATTTGTGGTTGAGCATTAAAGTTTTCCTCTGCGCGAGCACGAAGTGAAAAAAAGAGAGAGAATATTTATGTGAATCATTATATGGTTTATATTAAAAATTCTTATAGAGATAGGAAAAAAATGACGTGAACTTCGCGAGTGAAAATGTCAATGCTTTTGAAACATATGTGAACAGTTTTACCCCTTCTCATATGTACATATATTGCATTTTCTGGGCAAAAAGGAAAAGGATATTGTACTTGAAATTCAGAGCACACATAAAATTCTTGCATAGTTTACAATTTATGGACAGAATGCAACAAGAATTTTTAATGGAGTTATACACCATCGTCTACTGCTCACACCCCACGAGGCCAAGTTTTAGGCCACCCATTGCCGCCCACTTACAGCCAAAGTGGACACTCTGTCTCTGTTTTTCAATTGGGACTCGCACCATCGGTGGAAACTTTTCGACAGTACATGCAGTATCTTTCCCTCCTCAATATGCAGATTGCTTTTCATTGCCCACGGAGTTGCTCTTGCCAAACAGTTTGTGCGTCTATTGAATTGAATATTGTGGGCGGGTGAGGCGGAACTTGATGAATTTCCCGGATGATTGGGAGAAAAAGATGATTTCTGTTCCGAATAATATTTTCAATTTATCTCCGGAGCACGTCCCCTCTTCCATCCTCTCTCTCACCCCATTTTCCGGCTTAAATCACTCCTTTTCTGGGGATATTTCTTTCTATGGCAACTCCTCTACTGCTTAACATAAAACTGATGTTTATTTATTGTAGCTATTACAAAAGTTCCGGAAAGTTGTTTTTCAGCCACTTCAATATTTGTAAGTGGTTTCGAGATTCACTCTCTGCGACGTTCCTCAAACCTCTCCATCTCTAAATGTAGTGAATGGGCCGACGGAAGTGGGGGGAAAGGAGGAGGGAAACGGTCAAGAAAAACACTCAAAAGATGTGAAAGGTAGACAGGAAAGGTGTATTTTGAATAGAAGTCAATTTACTTTGCTCCGATCGAT